CCGCTACCGGGGCCTGCGTCATGGCCTGCACCTTCGCCTGGTCTCGCCGTGTCGCCGCTCCCGTGGCCGCCTGTGACGGGGACCGCCGCCGCTCCACCGACGCCCGCTGCTGCCGCCGCCGGGCCGTCACCGTCGCCACCGCCGCCGGGGCCTGCGTTCTGGCCTGCACCTTCGCCTGGTGCCGCCGTGTCGCCGCTTCCGTGGCCGCATGCGATGGGGACCGCCGCTGCTCCACCTCCGTCCTCTGCTGCTGCTGCCGCTGCTGGGTCGTCGCCGTCGTCGTCGATATCGCCGCCGCTCCCGGAATGGTCGTCCTCACCCATCGAGGCTGAACAGTCCCCGCCAAGAAGAGCGCCGCAACCACGCCAAACCAGGCTGACCAGACCGCCGCCGACCGCACCGGGGTACGCCACGCCCCTGACGCCCCATGCTTCGAGACAGCTGGGCGAGAAGGGAGACCTTCGGGTCCGAGGACGCACGAGGGGAGATGCGCGCGCCATGTCACAGCAGCAGCTCTCTACTCTTTCGGAGGACCGGCAGTTCCCATCTCTGCCGAACGAGGCCGTCAGTACTCCTCTCCCTCCTTCCGAGATCACCATGGGGTTGCTGGCTCAGGCGAACGAAGATGTCCTCCTCTCCATGCTGGATGCTCGGCGAGTCATGAACGGGAAGACGATGCTCCGGCCAGGATTGGAGGGGGATGATGAGCAGGGGGGCGGAGGGGGAGCAGCGAGCTCGGAGTGGGGACGCGGGAGGAAGCAAGGGCATCCTGCCTAAGGGGGACACGGGCGAGAAGGGACGCGTGGGGTATGGATGGTCGATCGGTCCCTCTGAGCGGGGCGTTCCGCTCGGGCTCATGGCGCGTCTTGCGACGCGCGACGACCTCGATTCGGCTATCTCTGAGATGGAGCCACCCCTTCTGCGTCCCGACATGCCGCGCTGCCACGCCAAGGACCTCAGGGTTCCCCAGACATTCAAGGAGGCGAAGGAGAGCGTGCACAGCACCCAGTTCATGGACGCAACGAAGAGAGAGGTGTTTGGGTTGCTAGAAGCAGATGCATTCAAGGTTGTTGGACCCTAGCAACCAATCGGTAATTGTATCAAGTCGAAGTTTGTGTTTGATTGGAAGGTAGATGCGTTCGGCTTTCCTACGAAGGCCAAAACCAGACTTGTTGCAAGAGGAGATATGCAGAAGGAGTACATTGACTTTGGTGATTTGTATGCTCCCACAGTAGCTTCGTCTAGTGTTCGTATGTTGGCAGCTTTGGCGTGTGAGCTTGACTTGGAGTTGTGTCATTTCGATATCGATCAGGCGTTTGTGAGGGCCCCTCTCAAGGAAGACATTTTCATGCGATTGCCGGAAGGATGTGGTGCGTTGTCGGGGAAGATTGTGCAGTTGAACAAGAGCCTTTACGGTTTGAGGCAGGCATCTAGGGAGTGGTACGCGTTGCTGAAGAAGTGTCTTTTGGCTTTGGGTTTCGAGCAGTGCATGGCCGATTCATGTGTTTTTCGCTTAGTCGAAGGGGGGGAAGTAGTGTTGATTCTAGTAGTACACGTAGATGATATTTTTGCAGTGGGGACGAA